CGCAGCAAGGATAAAACCTTCAGTTTCCGCTTTCAACCCTGCACTACGTAGCCACTGATGGGTACAGGTTTTGTCTACGCCAGCTTGTTTAGTACGGGCAGAGTATTGGACATGAAGTGGTTTATCTTGCCATCGCTTCTGTAACTGGTCGGTTGCATTCGTCTTAGCTATCTTATTTAGGTATTTTGCAGTTTCAGACGGTGTATTGTGCTGTAGTTGCATCTATACGCCCATTATTTATTTTGTAACCATAGCTACTGTTGTTCAGGTCATGTGTAAGAGGGATTAAGGATAAACAAAACAGAACGGGTGACAGAGAATCTCCTTGAAAGATTCCACGTCGGATATTCAGGCGGTTGGATATGGCAGTGCCCCCGGTGTGACTAAGGTATAGTTTGGTGTTCCACATTCCCATGCTGTGCTTAAGGAAATTTAATACCACAGGGGAGACTTTGTACATTTCCAAAGTCTTAAGGATCCAAGAATGTGGAACACTATCAAAGGCTTTACGATAATCAATCCACGCTGCACTTAGATTCCTGCGTCGTCTCCTGCAATTTTCCAGGATCATTTTATTTACCAGAAGTTGATCCTTGCAGCCATATGAACCTCTTCTGCATCCCTTCTGTTCCAGCGGGAGAGTGCTGTTTGTTTCGAGAAAGGAATAAGTACGGTTCGTCAATACAGACGTGATCAACTTATACGTTGTGGAGAGACATGTTATCGGTCTATAATTTTTCGGGTCGTCTGTTTCAGTTGTTTTTGGTATGAGGTATGTCATACCTTCAGTAATCCATTCTGGGATTTTATAGGGATTATTTACAAGCGTTGATAATGTTTTTGCAAGAATTTCATGGGTAGATGTGAGATGATACAGCCAGAAATTGGGCAACTTGTCACTTCCTGGGGATTTCCATTTTTGGGATTTCGTTAGAGATTGCCTAACATCATCTGTTGATATATTTTCCCATTCTTGCAGAGGTGTATCCAGCATTCGTTCTTCTTCACGTCGTATCCACTCTGCATTTGGGTTATACTACTTTGGGCTGCTCCAGATATTTTCCCAGAATGTCTGTACATTATCAATCGATGGTGGCCTTTCGACATGTATAGGTGTTTTTCCAATTTCCCTGTAAAATTTCTTAAGATCTGTTCGGAATATTTTATTTTGGTGATAGGACCGACAACGTTTTTCGTATCGTCTTGTTCTCTGCGCCTTTAGCTGAAGTTTCTGCTTCAGCATTTCCTTGATTGATGGAATATCAATTAGGGATTTAATGTTATATTTCCGCTTGATCTTTTTGAATTTACGTGTGGAAATATTAGGGTTTCTGATGAGCTCATCTAATATAGAAAGCTCACATCTGGTTTGTTGTATTTCTCGAATCAGTTTGGTTTTCCAAGCTGGTTCTCTGTGTCTGTTAATTTTATTTATTGTCTTGACTCCAAGCTTCCGAGTCGCTGCTAAAGCTGTGGCGTATATGACGTTGTTAACTTCTGTGATGTTTCCCGGTGGTTTATCTGTTAACAGTGTTTCCAGAGCAGCATTGTATATTTTCACGATGTGCCTGTTGGAGTTCGTCATATGGATTTTCGGAAGCTGGTCTCTGTGTGACAATTGTGTGAATGTTACTCTGCTGAGTACTTGGATGACGTCATTTTTCGATTCGGTGATTATTATTATTATTATTATTTCCTGAGTCATTATTATTATTATTGCTATTTATTATTATTCTTGTTATCATTATTGTTATTTATCATTCTTATTAGTGTTATTATTATTATTGCTATTTATAATTATCATTGCTATTATTATCATTTCTATTATTAATATTGCTATTATTATTATTGTTATTTTTTTCTTTGATTTCTGGCGTTTACACATTTGTTTCCGGGTCCCGCCCAGGGACCTAAGGTTAGAAATGGCGTCATGACACTTTCCACTGACAAGAAAAAAAAATTGCTATTATTATTATTATTATTATTATTATTATTATTATTTCCTGGTCCAGATACTGGCCCACTATATCATGCCGTGTTTCACATTCAGTGGTTGTTAACAACCCGCAAAGTGATACAATTTGTTTAAGTGTTTTTGGATATTTATCACAGATAACTGCATTTCGGGTTAACACAATTTTTCAGTATATGTGCTTATTATTAGTATTTGTAGTATTGGTAATAATAATAATAATAATAATAATAATAATAATAAACTGGGATTTATTCTTGCAAGTCCATGACCAAGGAGATTTTCACAAAACATTTTCTGGTAAATAATTACATAATAATGTGGATTACGAAATGCTTTATCTATGTAATTTAATTTTTTTTTTTATCTTTTTTTTTTTTGTTTGTCAGTGGAAAGTGTCAATATAAAAATCGTAACGATAGAGTGGGGCAATACTTACCTGGAAACAAATGTGTAAACGCCAGAAATCAAAGAAAAACAAGAATAATAAAATCGGCCAAGCGCCGGTTCCATCAAATAGAAGATGTCACCATTCTAGGGATTAAACCATCCACAATGACAGAAAATTGAATTCTTGCTGGCTGGATCATTATTGTTAAAACCAGAATTTAAAAAGCAAATTGATATGGCTTGTCCATAGTGTTAGCCCAAAATGCAGGTTCTGTGATAATTATCCAAAAACATTGATCATCTTGTTTCAGGTTCCAAAAATTGGCAAATTGAAAACAAGAAAACCCGGCATGGTGCACGGAATTATAAAAATGGAACAAAATCAACACATTGAAAAAATCCCTGAAACCCCAGCTTAACGAAACATTAAGAAATTGGTATGATCACCACCAGATCAGATTACAGAGAACTTTTGTCTATGTAACGCTAAACTTTATCGGACTAAAAAAAAAAAAAAAAAAAAAACACAGATCTTGTTAACAACACAAGCACGAACTGCCTTAGGTCTTCCTTTATTGATAGGTAGTGTGTCCATAGGACTGCAATAATATAATAATCATAATAATAATAATAATAAAAGCTATTCAAAATCCATGCCTCAGGATCAAAACATTGTTCTGAAAATTACAGCCCATGGGAACATTATCTATGTAATTTAATTTTTTTTTTTAGCTTTTTTTTGTTTGTTTGTCAGTGGAAAGTGTCAAAGATTCCAACCTTAGACAAAATGGACCCGGAAACAAATGTATAAACGCCATCAAAGAAAATAAGAATAATAAAAAAATTGTTCCGTATCCATCAGTGGCTACGTAGTGCAGGGTTAAAAGCTTTAAATGGAAGTTGTTATTCTTGCTGCATAGGATCATATATATTAACATAATTTATATAAATATATAAAATATATATTAGCCCAAAATGCAGGTTTAAAATAATTTTTCCGTAAACATTTGATCATCTTGTTTCAAAATGGAATTGGCATCCACTGAATTTAAAACCCGTAATGAAATTATGGACCAATATCTGCACCTCAAAATCTAAACTTTTGTGAAGGAAACTTTAAAAATTGGTATTATCACCACCCAGATCAAATTACATAGATATGTTTACAATTTTACAGATGAATCCAATTTACTAGACGCAACACAGATCTTGTTATTCATTAAGCGCAAACTAAAAATGCCTCAGTCATTGATATTTTGTCCCTGGGACTGCATGTATTTTTGAGAATCTTCCAAAAGCATCCGTTAAACAAGGATCAAAATACAAATTTCAAAAATTTTATCGTTAACATCAAAAATACCCGTTTTAGTTGCATTTTTTTCCTTCGTATTGATTTAAAAAAATTTTTTAGACAAAATTAGGGATTCCTGAATATGTTTTAAAAAATAAAAAAATATCTATAAGAACACCCACACCTTACGATTATATATCTATATATATTATTTATATATATATATATATATATATATATATATATATATATATATATATTATAAATTAATTGATTTAAAATATGTTTTTCCGATGCCATTTCTAACTATGTTTCAAAATGGAATCTAAAAGCCCGGAAAAATTTTGTAATTAAATTAGAATATCCTCCTCAAGAGAATTTTTTAATAATTTTAAAATTACTGGGTTTTAAAGAATAATAAAATAATAATAAATTTTTCAAGGTTACAAAATACAAAGACTAGACGAGGGGTGTCTGAAAAATGTCTATATTTTAAAACAAGTTATTACCACGTTTTGGTAGTGGGTAGGGATGTATTTTTCAAGGAAATATAAAATCCGTTAAAAAAACAACATCTGGATTTTAAAAAATTTTATCGTTAACCCCAAAAAGACGGCATTTTTTTCCTTCGTAAATTTAAAGTCTTTATTAAGAATACGTTTTAAAAAAAGAAATTCTATAAAAAACACGTCTTATATATCTTACTGTTCTTTCTTTATATATATATAAAAAAAAAAAAAAAATATATATTTGTCACATGAAAATGTCATGATGCCATTCTAACCTTAGGTGTCTGGGCGACCTGCCTTAGGTGTTTCCACAGAAATCAAAGAGAATATAATCCATAATAAAATAATAATAATAATAATAATAATAATAATAATAATGTGCGTGTTATCATTTTGCCTGAGACTAATTTAAATTACCACACTCCCCTCAGGGCGTTTCTTAGTAAAAAAAAAAAAAAAAAAAAGTTCATTTTATGAGAGTTATCTCTGTTAGGTATATATTTCGGAAGTTTCATTTTGATGAAAAGATTTCTTGAGGATGATATGTTCAGTTCCGTAGAAAGTAATCACTTGTCGCTCTGAGGTGTTGATCTGTTCGGGAATTTTACTCACATACTTTTCGCTACTCTTCTTTACCCTATACATACCCCCTGTCATAATCGTCGTATTAAGTTATCAATTTTTTTCTTACTTTGACTTTCATGTCCTTATAATTTGATAGTTTTCGAAATTCCATTTTTAAAACATTGGAATCCTGTAGGAGAACTCATATTGTTGAGAGATTCCATGTTTGAAAATCTGTTATATCTCTAGTCCATTTGCATCAATTTTCCTGTGCATGGCGATTGGGAAATTCGACCGTATAGTCGCCCCAGCACCATTTGTGACATAATTCATACGGTGTTTGAACCCTGTCTCTGAGACCACACTACCATAGCTCGAACAGACATGCCAATGGATATATTGTCCTAGTCTCTCATGTCTAATAATGCATTCTTTCTCAGCAAGGGATGGGCACTTTGGCACTGTGTATTCAACATTTTCATTAGATATATGGCATAAGCGGAATGGCTGGATTCGAGCCATATTAAGGTCCCTGCCTCCCGCTTAAGACCACTGCTTTTAAGAGATATATATGTTTTCGGTTCATCCGTGTCTGGTTCATTTACGCACTTTGTGTAATTTCCATACAAGGGTTTAGATCTCCATTTTTGTTCAAGAGCCTTGATATTATTATTATTATTATTATTATTATTATTATTATTATTATTATTATTATTATTATTGTTGTTGTTGTTGTTGTTGTTGTTATTATTATTTTATTTCTATTGTGTACTCATTTCTTTCCCGGTCCCGCTCAGGGACCTAAGGTTAGAAATGGCATCATGACATTTTCCATTGAAAAAAAATATTTTACATAGATAACGCCCTTAGTTAAGCGTGGGCTGTACTTGTGAAAACAATTGTTTGTATCTCTTTGAGGCATGGACTTCCAGGAATCCCTTCAATTAATCTACTGGAATCTTTTCCAACTAGTCCGAGGTTTCCAACTACAACAGGTTTTTTTTGATTTTCACATGTGCCCCATTTTTGAGATTTCGATTTATTTCCTTATATTTTGACAGCTTACATTGCAGTCTGCAGCGACTGCCATATCAATAACGTCGCACTTTTTTGTTTTGTTTTTGGCCTTTAATAACAATTCATTTTAATAACAATGTCTGGGCGGTTGGCTATGATTCTTCTTCTTCTTCTTCTTCTTCTTCTTCTTCTTCTTCTTCGTTTTATTATTATTATTATTATTATTATTTCTGTGTTATGTTTCCTGCTTTGTATCCTGTAGAGCCGGGTCCAAACATTGGTCCTTAGGCCCTATAGGAGAATTGTCATTTAATTGATAGCACATTTCTTCGTATATAGGATGTTCCTATTAGTGCTATGTTTTTGGATACTTGTATGTTTATGTTACCAGGGACACTTTTAGGAAAATTGTCCATTCGTTTTCTCAGGAGGCCCAGATATGGGATTACTGTTGGTACTCTCTCAGTCTTCATTCCCTACATCCTGTTTATCTAGAACTGTAGCTCCTTGTATTTGGACAATTTCTCGATAATTGCCATCGAGGTGTTTCTCTCAGATGGTACTGCTATGTTAATAAGCATACACTTCCTGAATTTCTTATCTTTTATAATAATATCAGGATTTCGGCAATTGTTTCCCTTTATTATTATTTTTATTATTAGTATTATTATTATTAATGATAATAATATTAGTAATAAATTTACTTCCGTTTTTACATTTGCCCTTTTATATTCGACTCTTTTTTCTTGTCTTTCTTTCAGTCTACCGGATTTGTATTTCTGCCAACCTATTCTTCTTTCACAGATATTCTTGCATTTCATTCATTCGCGTTTGTTTCCCTTCACATTCTTCTATCATTTCTTCACCTGTTTTTGTCCCATTTACAGAACGATTCTTCCTTTCCTTCTAGTTCTACTCACTTCTTCATTGCATCGCTTTGTACCCACTGACATTGGCATTTCTTTATCCTTTTCCTCACCGTGGTTTAACTTTATGTGCCGGCATTTTTACATTCAAGCTGTTGTGGCTAACCATTCACGCAGACGGCGACTGCCAAATTCATAGTTACTTTCAGGTCGACACAATTGCCGATTCTGAAAGCACCAAAAGAAATCGAGTAGAAACGTTGTTCACTTTTACAAATATATAATTTTTGTTTTTTCCTATATTTTGTTTCCTTCTTTCTTTTTTTTACAGTGAGTTAAATATACTCTGTTTTCTCTATTTCTCCTCCCTTTAACTTACTTTCTTTTTTCTTTTCTTTCTTTCTTTCTTTCTTTCTTTCTTTCTTTCTTTCTTTCTTTCTTTCTTTCTGGCTGGTTGGCTGTCTGTCTGTCTGTATGTATGTATGTATGTATGTATGTATGTATGTATGTATCCATTATTCCTTTGTCGACACGTTTCCTTCAACCCGCATACTTCTTTGTTATTTTTCTCCCCCTCCAATTTTTTTGTTGTTGCTTGCTTGATTGATTTTCTTTCTTTCTTTCTTTCTTTCTTTCTTTCTTTCTTTCTTACATAGTAAGTTTTGCTTTCTATTTTCACTATCAGTTCATGTTGATATTTTCATTTATGTCTCTGATCGTTCTTTCTTTCTTTCTTCCTTTCTTTCTTTCTTTCTTTCTTTCTTTCTTTCTTTCTCTTTCATGTATTCTTCCAACCGACAGTTATCCATTCTTAATTTGTCTTCACTTTTATTTCTGCAAGTATTTTTTTTTGGTTTTTTACCTGTTTTCAACATACCTTTTTTTAGTGTTTGCTTTACTTTTCATTTTTATTTTCCTTGGTTGATTTTTATTTGATTCATTCATTATATTTTTCTTTTCTATACCTCTCATTGTATCTTTCTTTCAATATTTTCTTTCTTTCTTTCTTTCTTTCTTTCTTTCTTTCTTTCTTTCTTTCTTTCTTTCTTTCTTCCATAATAAATTTTGCTTTCTATTTTCACTATCAGTTCATGTTGATATTTTCATTTATGACGCTGATCGTTCTTTCTTTCTTTCTTTCTTTCTTTCCTTCTTTCTTTCTTTCCTTCTTTCTTTCTTTCTTTCTTTCTTTCTTTCTTTCTTACTTTCTTTCTTTCTTATTCACGTATTCTTTAAGTCTATTTTCCTATTCAATACTGGACAATACTTTTACTTCGGCCCGGTACTTTTTCCCTTTACTCTCTCTTCCCAGTTTGTTTGTTTCTTTATATATGTTTTCTTTTAAACTATGTTTATTTTTAATACATATAGACACTTTTTCTTCATTTTGCATATATTTTTTCTTTATCTTATATCTTTCCAGTTTTTTTCTTTCTTTTTCTTTCATTCTTTTTTTTCCTCATTTCATTCCAATTTGCTGTTTTTTCTTTATGTCATCTTCCTTTCCTCTTGATTTCTTTCTTTGCTTTTTTCACCTTACATTAATAAATTTTCATTTCGAGGTCTCCTTTTAATTTGATCATTTACGTTTTTATTTCTTGCTATTTTTATTTTCATTTTTTATAAATATCATTCATTCCATCTTGTTTTTTATTTTTTAAATCCATTAATTTCCTTTTCTTCTATCGTCTCTTTTTGTCGTTCATGATTTTCGATTTCATTCAATTTTTTTCTCCTCGTGTGTTTAACTCTTTTATATCATTCTATGTTTCTTACTGGCTTTCATTTGTCTTTTTGGTCTGTCGATATTGTATCATTCTTTCGATGTTTTTTATTGCTTTTCTTACATCCTTTTTTTAAATATATTTTCTTCTGGGTTTTCATTTGTATAGTGTGACCCAAAACAACGGGAACTTTTTAACTGTCTAATAAAACCAAGAGTGATGGAAGAAAAATATTTTATTCATAGTAATTGAAACCTTAAAACATGTCATTTAAGAAACAATGATGGAATTTTCATTTTTTTTAAAATTACGTCCTGTAGATGGCGTTCTCCTGCACGAATGCATTCTTGAAATCTGCTGTTGAGATTTCTCATTGACTGCTGCAACATCACAGCTGGGATACTGTGAATTTCATCTTGAATTCTAAATGGCGAAATGCTTACTTGCTCAGGGTCACCGTCTCGCAGTGTTTCCACTTGCTCATGCTTGGCAATACGCACTTCAAAAATTCCCATTTTTGGGGGTCACCCTGTATATTTCTTTTTTTTTAAATTTTTTCTTAATCCTCTCTTTTCGTTTGTAACCAATTACGAAATTTTTCCTCCATTTTTTTCCTTTTTAATTATACTATGACGTCAGTATTATTTTCATTTTAATTCCAAGCATATTTTCCCATTATTATTATTATTATTATTATTATTATTATTATTAATAATAATAATAATAATAATAATGATAATAATAATAATAATAATTCTCTCTATCCTTATTTCTTTTGAATGTATTCTATTCCGCTTCAAAAATGTCTGCTTTCTTATGATATATTTTCTTTCTTTCTTTCTTTCTTTCTTTCTTTCTTTCTTTCTTTCTTTCTAAAAGTCATTTCTTTTTCGCAGTTTCGCATTTTATTATAGTTTTCCCCGAACTTTTCACCTTACAGTTTCTAACAAATAACATTTACACTCAGAACACATCTTTTCCCATTCACTCACTATAATTACTGTTATATAAACCCATACAAAGAATCATTTCTATAAATGACGATATAAACACCCAGACATCAATCTGGCAGCATAAATCCACAGGTATCAAGACGTTCATTTATATATTTAATACTTTACCTACTTCAAATTTTCTTTCTATCTATCTATCTATCTATCTATCTATCTATCTATCTATCTTTTGTTTTCCACAAATAATTGTTTCTCCCGCTCTTTTTCATTTCTTTCTTTTTCTTTTTCTTTTTTACACTTTCTTCCTTTATTTTTTTGTTTGTTTGTTTCTATCTTTCATATTCCTTTCTTTTTTCTTTTAATTTCATCCTTTGTTTTGCTTCCTATAATGTATTTCTCCCATTTCTTTCTTTCTTTTTCTTTTCTTTTTTTTCTTTATTACTCTTTCTTCCTTTCTTTCTTTTTTGTTCTTTCAGTTTTCTTTCTTTTTTCTTTTCATTCCGTCCTCTTTTGCTTTCTATAATTTATTTCTCCCATTTCTTTCTTTCTTTTTCTTTTCTTTATTGGCAGCTTTAACATATCCTTTCTTTATTTTAAAATTAGCCTTTTTAACAAATTTCTTCTTTTTCATTTCTTCCTGAATTCCCGCTCATTTCCATATGACGGTCCATCTTGTTTCCATTTTTCGCTATTTTTCATGTATATATTTTTTCATTCTTTTTGATGTGATTCTTTTTAATTTTTATTCTTTCTGATTTTTAAATGCCACTATAATTTTGCCTTTTTCCTTTTATGTGATCGCTCTCATTCAATTTTTATCGTTGTTTTTCTTTCTATGTTTTTCTTTGTTTTTCCGTATTTTTTCATAATTTCCTTTATACATATTGTTTTTTCTTTCTTTCCTGTTCTTTTGTTTCTTTCTTTTATTTTACATTCGTTTTAATGTTTTTATTTTATCTTCTTTCTTTCGATTTTCTTTCTTTCCGACTTTCTGTCATTCTTTCTTCGATTACTTTCTTCTTTTCTTCATTTTGGTTTTCTTTCTTTTGCAATTTGTTCCTTTCCGTTTTTCTTTCGTTGTTTCTTTTAACTTTTTTATTCTTCTTTTCTTCATCTTTTTTTCGTCATTTTTCTTTCCATATTTCCATGATTCTTTCTTTCTTTTGTTTTTGCCTATTTTTTTCTTTCTTTCTTTCTTACACTCTTTTTTCGCTCGTTCTTTCTTTCTTTCTTTTTCTCTTTCTTTCTCTATTTATTCTTTCTTTATTTCTTTCTTTCTTTCTTTATTTCTTTCTTTCTTTCTTTCAATTATTATTTCTCTCCATGATTCATTTTCCTCTATTTTTCTATTTGCACCTTATTTACTTTCAGTTCCGTTCTGCTGATATTCATTTTTTACTTTTTTCGCACATAGTCGTCTATCTGTCTATTCACTCCACTCTCCCCTATTCTCTCTCTCTCTCTCTCTCTCTATATATATATATATATATATATATATATATATATATATCTGTGTGTGTATATGTGTGTATATATTCAAATGTTTATATATATATATATATATATATATATATATATATATATATATATATATATATATATATATATATATATATATATATATATATATATATATATATATATATATATATATATATATGTGTATATATATACATATATGTGTATATATATACATATATATGTTTATATATACATATATATGTGTATATATATATATATATATATATATATATAGTCAAAGATTAATATGAAAGAATGCAAGTCTGTTGAGAATAAAAAGACCCTTCTTTATATGCCAATTCAGATAAGCATAAAACGTCATTATACGAAAGTCACGAAGATTGTCTACTGAAGCAGAAATCACGCTGTTCGATTTGCCTGCAATTATACCATTTTCTCGCACAAATTTATCTCCAAATACTATACGTATACAAATGTAAATACTATAGTTATATACGCGGCTGTATAAATTTGTATAAAATACCTGTATTCATCTTTTGATGAATAACTTTTAAAACTCACACGCAGACAACTGCATTTATAGAGTTTTCACCTGATATTTGAGCACAGATCATTAGCAGAACAAAACCTTTTTTTAAGCACACACGCAGACTTCTGAATTTATAGAGATTCCGTCTGATATCTGAGAACAAACCTTTAACGGGAGATAAACGGAATATGAACAGATGCAATGTTGCGTAGCATGCGCATCATTGTAACATTGTTATTTGTCTTTCCGTATTATGGCCGTTTCCAACATGAAATTAAGTGGTCGTAAATGTAAGAGAACCCTCCAAAAACAGTAATTGGGAAGTGGTCACTTTCTTCCGTTCAGAGTTAAAGAAAGAGAGAGTGGGGGGAAAGAGGGAGGAGAGGGGAGAGGGAGGAGGGGGAAGAGGGAGAGAGAATGAAAAATACTGAATTCCTGCCCGCATCGAAGAGTTTCCTCTGTCATTTTACTACATTCATCTCTTACCATATTCATTACTACATTCATTTTACTACATTCATATTTTACTATATCCATTGCTACATTCATTTTACAACATTCATATCTTACTATATTAATTACTACATTCATTTTACTACATTCATATCTTACTATATTCATTACTACATTCATTTTACTACATTAATATTTTACTATATTCATATCTTACCACATTCATTACTACATTCATTTTACAACATTCATATCTTACTATATTAATTACTACATTCATTTTACTACATTAATATTTTACTATATTCATATCTTACCACATTCATTACTACATTCATTTTACTACATTCATATCTTACTATATTCATTGTTACATTCATTTTACTACATTCATATCTTACTATATTCATTACTACATTCATTTTACTACATGAATATTTAATTCATTCTGTATTTTCTACAATATTCCTTTAGCTTTTCAGCCATCATACTTCGACCACATTTATTCTGCAAAATAATATATCAAGACTAATTAAACATTTAAAACATGAATTATTAATTATCCTATATGACGCGCAACTATAGCCTATGTATGTGCACACGCGCGCCTGTGCCATTTTGGTTTGGTTTGTTTTAGGTTGTTTCACGGCATGTCAATGTCAGTGAGTTATTTAATGCTGACAAGATTTATATTGCAAATTTTTATATTTTCATAGCATTTTGCCCCCAGTTTGGGGGTTAACTATTTGCCCATAGGTGGGACAATAATAGGTGCTAGCACCCTGAGTCAGGATAGACCTGGGAACACCATCAATTAAGAGGTGATGCCACGCCCCTAAAAGACTCCTGATTAGAGGCCCTTGCTGCCGGACGTAGTTTATCATCCTACCCTCAACGCGGATGTAGTTTATCTCCTTACCCCAGCGTCTGTTTGTTTGCGTCCGTGCATGTGTGTGTGTGGGGGTGTTCGAATGTGTGTGTGTGTGTGTGTGTGATAGGATATGATAAAATGAATGTTGTGAAATATCCCAACAAAGTATGTTAAGATGAAGTTGGATGTATTTTTTTATTCTGTTGAGAAGGTTTGGAACAGCTTCAGAACATTTGAAAAAAAAATCATTATCAAGGCCTCCTTGTTCTTTGGCATCTTTGTTTAAAAATTAACAGTCACGGAACTTAAGAAAAATAACAGTACATAGTGTTAATATGATTTTTAAAATAATGATATTTGCTTTTAATTTTACCACAAGAAAGGTGATAAAGCCACTAAGATGCAAGAATGAATTAAAATGTGAAGAATAAGACAATTGAAGACATATTTATCACGTTTATGAAAGGAAGCTAGCTATATATATATATATATATATATATATATATATATATATATATATTATAAATTAATTGATTTAAAATATGTTTTTTTCGCTACACAG